ATGGGCCTAGAGACATTTTTTAAAAGTTGGCAAGTCATACAGCTGGAAAGCCAGCAGAACAGAGCAGACTTGTCTACCTCTTGTCTTTTGCTTCAACACCCAGCGATGTTGCTGCTGTGGTAGAATCCATGTGGTGGTCTGATCGCCTTTTCCTTGTTTTGTAAAGGAGCATATCAGGCAAGGCACCAGCACTGACGCTCATGAGCATGGGCGTTTCTCTGCTTGACAGTCACCACCGAGAAAGTGGATGTGAATGAGGTCAGGACCTTGTCATGGTGTGGGGGCCAGTGCACTGACAGTACTGAGTGTGCTGGCCAGGGAGCAGGGCGCCAGGGTTCCTTCCAGTGCTAAGCCTTGGGGCTTGCAATGTTCTCTCCTTTTGTCTGCCTTTTGGAATTTTTTCTTGTGAAAATATCAAATGTGTCCTTTCTGCGTTGAAATTCACATAAGAAAATGAAACTGGAATGATAGTAGGGTTTTTGTTGTTGCCTTTTTAAGTTTAATTCAGTAAACTTTTACCAAGCTCCTGTTCTGTAACAACCAGATACAGCTAACATCACCAAACCATCCTGTGGTCCCCATCTTTGATGTCCAAAGATCCTCACATTACAAATCTGTTTACGTCTTTCTTTTATCCACTATCCCTTTATTATTTACAATGAAAGCAAAAACTTCAGATAATGATAAAGACCCAGTTAAATTAATACTTTCATTGAAATTTGGGATTTATCTGTGATTTGTGGATCAGAAAAATTTCAGGGTTTCACATTTGGACTCTATTTGTTTTGGATGAGACATTTATGACCTAGTTAGAACTATTCCTGTGCAAAAGTTGTAGTGGCAAAGAAAACCCTCCCTCCAAACCAGGAATGATTGTGAAGGTCATTTCTAGTCCTACCTGCTTGTCCTATAACTAGAGGTCTGGTGCACTAAAGTCCTGCATGGAATAGATGGTTCCCTCAGCTCAGCCTGCACCCTCTCTAACTGGGGATCCTTTGGGGGATGTCTGACTGCTGGTTTAGGCCTGATCCTGGGGTCGGGCCTAAACCAGCAGTCGGACATCCCTCACGCAATCTAGCACCATTGGCTCCTAACTGCTTACCTGCCTGCCTGATTGCTCCTGCCTCTGCCTGCCAGCCTGATCACCCCTAACATCCCTTCGCTGACAGGCTGATTGCCCCCAACTGTCCCCTCTGCTGGCCTGATCTCACCTCCAATGGCCCTCCCCTGCCAACAATTTGGTTCTGATCAATCAGTTTCCATTGTCAGCATCAAAAGCTCTGCCTCCTAGGCAACCATTGGCTCCCCACAGCACCCAAATTTGGTTCTGCCTGGTTGATTTCTATGCCAGTCAGCATCAAAACCTCTGTCTCATAGGTAGCCATTGGTCCTTCAAAGCACCCACATTGGTTCTGATTGGTCAGTTCCTAAGCCAGTCAGCATCTCTGGACATATCTCTAGGTCTGATCAGAGCAGCCCCAGCAGAGGCCAGGAGAAAAAGAAAAGCTCAGCTGCTGATGAAGCTTAGAAAGAAAGAGGGAGAGAAAGAGAGGCAATAGCTTCCACTGAGGCTGAAGATCAGACCCTGACTCACTTTCTGGGTCTCAGCCACCTGGGCAGTCAGTGCTGGGTTGCCCCGGCAACCCCGTGCTGACTAAGGACTTCTGGGTTCGTCAGCGTTCAGTTATGATCAGTCGTTACAACCCTGATTTTTATATATTAGATTGCCTTTCTGGAGATAAGAACCATGGAAACATGAAATTAGAACAATAAATACCAGCATAGAAAAGTTAGGAAAACTAATGTGTCATTTTTCTGCTAAACCAGAAACTATCCCATTACTCGGATTCCAGTCTTGGCCAGCAGTCATAGGTAACAGAGTTAGGGTGGGATTGGGATTGGATAAGTTATTTCTGCAAATTAGGCAGAGACCATTGACTAGAAACCACTCTGCTAAAGCATTGGAAGTAGCAAGAATCTCGGTTACTTCTGGTGTGGTGTTGCAATGACTCTGAGATATATGTAGGGGTCCCTTTTATGGGTTCTTTCCCAATATCCTAGAAAACAGAGAGAAAAAATTAATGTGCAGTGTGTCTTCTGACCCTTTACACAGAAGTTTGAATTGTGTCTGCATGTGGGATTTTAGAATTCACACATCTTTTCTTCCTCTCAGGAGCAGGATGGCACAGTGCCCCTTTTGCTTATCTCAAATTTCATCTTATATAAAATACCAATGTGTTTCATCACTTATCCTGTTCACTTTCTTCTCTTTGATCAAAAAGTTTTAGAACAATTATCTTTCTTGTTTAAAATCCTTTGTAAATGTTTCCCCTCAAATAAATCTTGAGTATTTCCTCAAAATCAGAATGGCTATTGGTGGTCCACAGAAATATATTATCAGATTATCTTTTTCATTCTATTCTCAATATACTGGTTGATTTTTATTAAGCTGATTCTTTGAATCATATAACTCCCTAGTCATTGATAATTGTTTTTTAATAGTGCCTTTATTTTGAATCCTATTAACTTCTTAAATCCAATGCTAATAACTATTCTTTTTCTGTATGGTCCCTAAAATTCACATAGATTAGTTATTATAGTCTTATATTTTGTTATAAAATAACTTTATTTTTAAAGTTTTCTCTGTGTCACACTCAATCAATATTCTTTTTAAAGAGAATATATTTAAAAATATGTTTGGACAGGACCAGTGTGGCTCAGTGCTTGAGTGTTGACCTGTGAACCAGGAGGTTACAGTTTTATTCCCAGTTAGAGCACACGCCCGGGTTGCAGCTTGATTCCCTTGGGGGAGCTTGCAGGAGGCAGCCGATCAATGATTTTCTCTCATCATTGATATTTCTCTCTCTCTCTCCCTCTTCCTTCCTCTCTGAAATTAATAAAAAAAATTTTTTAAAGTGTAATGTAAAAAAAAGTCTTTAGAATAGATATATAATACATATATATTGTTTTGTACTATAGAGTTGATGCAGAATATACTAGTACTAGAGGCCCAGTGCACAAATTTTTGCACAGGGGTGGGGGTGTCCCTCAGCCCAGCCTGCACCCTCTCCAATCTGGGACACCTTGAGGGATATCTGCCCGCCCATATAGGCCCAATCCCATAGGGATCAGGCCTAAACAGGTGGTCAGAGATCCCTCTCACAATCCAAGACTGCCGGCGCCCAACTGGCCTCCCCTGCTGGCCGGGTCCCCCCCAACTGCCCTACCCTGCAGGCCTGGTCTCCCCCATTTGCTCTCCCCTGCAAGCCTGGCCCCCTGCCTCCCCCCCAACTGCCTTTCCCTGCTAGTCTGACCTCCCCCAACTGCCCTCCTCTGCTAGCCTGATCCCCTAACTGCCCTCCCTGCTGGCCTGGTCACCCCTAACTGCCCTCCCTGCTGGCCTGATTGCCCACAACTGCTCTTCCCTGCAGGCCTGATCCCCCCAACTGCCCTCTGCTATAGGCCTGATCCCCCCGCAACTGCCCTTCCCTGCAGGCCTGGCCCCCCAAACTGCTCTCCCCTGCAGCCTGGTCCCCCCAACTGCCCTCCTCTGCTGACCTGGTCTCTCCCAACTGCCCTCCTCTGCTGACCCAGTTACCTCTAACTGCCCTCCCTGCTGGCCTGAGTCCCCACAACTGCTCTTTCCTGCAGGCTTGACCCCAATCAACTGCCCTCTGCTGCAGGCCTGGTCCCCCCAAAATGCCCATCCCTGCAGGCCTAGTTGCCACAAACTGCCCTCCCCTGCAGGCCTGGGTTCCCTTCCCCACCCCCAACTGCCTTTCCTTGCTGGCCTGGTTTCCCCCAACTGCCCTCCTCTGCTGGCCTAGTCACCCCTAACTTCCCACAACTTTCTTCCCCTGCAGGCCATCTTTTGGTGGCCATCTTGTGTCCACATGGGGTCAGCCATCTTGTGTCTTGGTGTGATGGTCAATTTGCATATTACTCTTTTATTAGATAGTATATGTTTTGATAAGTAGGCTCTTTTCTCTCTTAAAATCTGGATTTTTTAGAAAGTATAAAGGTTGGTTTGGTTAAGAGTTGATTGCACAGCTTATGAGTTCTTGAATGATGCATATGATAAATGTCACTCTTCTAGAAAAGAAATAAAACCAGAATACTGCAACATGGAAATCAATCAGAATGAAATGGGAATTGACTGCGGAAAGGAACTCTTTAAGTGATAGCAGAGAGTTTGAGAGGATGTTTTAAGCAGACATGATATTTATTTAAATACTTAAAAAGTTATCTTAGCAAAAGATTTTATGACCTGTTGATGAGTACACAATTGAAACTATGAAACATTTTCAAATTTCAGTAGCTTCAGATCATTAGTACATAGAGCTTCCATAGAAGAAGACCTGAGGCAGCTAGGTCCATGGTTCCATTCCCCTGGAATCTCATGGAAGTTAAATAACTTGCTTTTAGGAACAGGATAGTTTTCTGTCAGCCTGATCCCACACATAGGCCTGTTTGACACTAAGCTTTCCCTAATTTAGTTTTCTTTCTTAACAATAGATCCTGTCTGTGCCCCAGGTATGTTGTTAGTCTATGCTTTGAATATCACATGAAATATTCCAGTGTTTATGAATGAGAGAACATCATTTATATTGAAAATGTTTTTAAAGTGCTTTTAATTTTTTCTTATCAAATGTGTTCATCAATGAGTCCTTGATAAATTATCTTTATGCTTTCTGACTTATTATGCTTTATAACGCAGTTATTTTACTCATTGTTTTCTGAAGAAAACTTTTATGATTTAGAACCAAATAAAATTTGTCATTATAGCTATATATTTAAATGTTAGATAATTCTTTTATAAATTGTTATTTTAATGAAATTGTGTAGCATCTATTTTTATTCTCTTACTAAGTGCACTTATAACAATAATATGGTGTAACAAAAATCTGATCCAACTTTGAGGGGTTTTTATTTTTGTCTTTTGAGGGGGTTTCTTTTTTTTAGTTCTTATTACTAGAAATAATTTTTTTTTCTATTTACAGCTGGCTTTAGAAGAAGTTTCCGTCTAAGTAGAAAAGATAAGAAAACAAATAAATCCATGTATGAATGTAAGAAGAGTGATCAATATGATACAGCTGACGTACCCACATATGAGGAAGTAACCCCATATCGGCGACAAATGAATGAAAAATACAGGCTTGTTGTCTTGGTTGGTAAGTGTCTGTGTTTGTGTGTAATTCGGATGAAACAAATGAGATAGTAAAAATTTCACTTCAAAGAACATCTCACTTGAAGTTTCCAGCTAAAAAGTCTCACCCGCTGTTCACATAAAGCCCAACCACCTTCAGGGCGCTGAGCTGAGTATTTCCACATAGGGCCTCCCTCAGGCAGATCAGCAGATGTTGGCCATGCTTTGCCTTTGCTGCACTGTCCAGGCATGGCCACGCATTGCACTTATCATTACTGTCTTACTTTCGTTCTCCTTAAAATTCACCAACTATTCCAAAGTATCCCAGGCTGATTTTCCTTGTTTTTTATCCCTCTCCACTCAGTTCACTTGTTGGGCAGTCCACCTGGGGTAGTCCTCCCAGTCACCAGGGAAAGGCCAGCTTGACCTTAGTCTCTGCTCAGACTCCAGGCTGCTTCTCAGTAGGTTTTTATGGCAGAGACAGCATCCGCGTCCCTTTCCCACCGGCCTCCAGCCTCAACTCCAGGGCTTCTCAAACTTACACACTTTGAGTCAGCTGGGGATCTTGTTAGCATAGTTTCTGATTTCTCCCACGTTCCCAGATACCCAGGCTGATTCTGGAGTGCCTTTTGCTTTTCAGCTAGTGCTTATTATTGGTTATAAAGCAAATGTAGGGAGGCTGTGCACACAAGTAGCCTGGTTGCTCTGTTGAAATGGGTTCAGTTGCCATTACCTTCTTTTGTTGGTGGCTGTAAACTGGCTGCAATTTATTTTGATATCACACTTATTTTGTACTTTGTTATCATGTGTTTAAATGATGATTTTAAAGCCTTTAGTTTTGTCTTAATTTGCTGTTCAGGATTTGTTCAGTGATATTTTAGACTTGGTATGCCTGCTTCATATTGATTTATTATATTTTCAGCTTGTATTATAAAACTAGAGGCTTGGTGCATGACATTTGTGCACTGGGGGGGAAGGTAGTTAACCCTCAGCTCAGCCTGCACCCTCTTCAATCTGGGACTGCTGGCTCCCAACTGCCTGCCTGCCTGCCAGTATGATCACCCCCTAATCACTCTCCTGCCAGCCTGATGGATGCCTAACTGCTCCCCTGCCAGCCGATTGTCCCCAACACAACTCCCCTGCAGGCCCGATTGCCCCCAACACACCTATCCTGCAGGCCTTATCCCTCCCAACTACCTTCCCCTGCAGACTTGGTCCCCCTTAACTGCCCTTCCTTGTAGGCTTGGTCCCTCCACCCCCAACTGCCCTTGGTGTGAGGTGGTGGAGACAGTGAGAAATAGGTCTCTGGGGCAAGGCAGGCTGCCTTCCAGCCAGTTCCGCTCTTCTGTAACCATGTGACAACTGAACATTTCAGATTTTCTTGGGGCATTTTTTTCTTCATTTGAAAAGTGAAGACAATAAGAGCAGCTGCTTTCTAGGTTTGTTTGTTATCAATAAATGCAGGGTTGGTCCCCTTCCAACTGCCCAGCCCCTGCAAGCCTGGTCACCCCTAACTGCCCTCCCCTGGTGGCCTGATTGCCTACAACTACCCTCCCCTGCCAGCCATCTTTGACCAAATGGGGTCAGCCTTTTTGTGCAAGGGTGTGAGGGTCAATTTGCATATTAACTCTTTATTATATAGGATTCTTATAAGAAAATCTTTAGCCCCTAACACTTTATTTCCCTATTTTGGAGCACTTTCTGGTATAATATAATTTTTAATTTTTTAATCCCACCCTTATTACTGTGGTCTTGATTTTCCATAGTGGAAAGTGATTTAATTGTGTGTGTGTGTTTTAATCCTTACCCAAAGATATGTTTTTATTGATTCTAAAGAGAGGAAGGGAACGATAGAGAGAAACATGGATGTAAGAGAGAAACATTGATCAGTTGTCTCCTATATGCGCCCTGACTAGGGATCAAACCCATGACCAAGGCATGTGCCCTAACAGGGAATCAAACCCACAAATTTTTCTTGGTGCACAGGATGTCGCTCCAGCTGAACCACCCAGCCAGTCTTTAATCCTATCCTTTCCATCCCTGTGACCTTTTTGGAGCATGATCTTCTGTAGTGAAAAGCGACAGCCAGGGTTGTAATATGTAACTATTCTTCAAAAGTGTTTCCTGTTATTCGCTTCCTTCTGTGTAGTCATTGTCCAGAAAAGCTTTTAGCTTGGTTGTGTAGCACATTTGTAGTATTAGACTTTAGAGTTTATTTTCTAGAGTCTATTACATCCTGTGAGGTGGGTGGAAGAGACAGTGAGAAACAGGCTGCCTTCCAGCCAGTCTGCTCTTTCATAACCATGTGACACCTGAACATTTCAAATTTTCGGGGGGCATTTTTTTTCTTCATCTGAAAAATTAGGACAATAAGAGCATCTGCTTTATAAGTTTGTTTGAGTGTTAAATGAAATAGTATTTGCAAAGACTGAGATCAATTCCTACTATTGTACCTCAGTTAGGTTTTAATAAACAAAACTCTTCTATTTTAACTAAAAATATAAGTTGAATATGAAATGTTAAAATATGAATAGGCTTCTGCTGATTTTGATCATTAGTGTCCCAAACACACAAATTAAATTAGATTATTTAGCAATTTATTATCTAAAAGGGAATCAAGCAGTAGACTTGAATTTTGGAAATTCTAGATTGTTTCTAAATTGACTATTTACTTTTCATTATTGTAGAAATCATATACTGTACTTAGGAAATAGTTCCTTGGCTCTCACAACAGGTGTAGGAGTATGGAAAGTGTATAAGCATCCTGGTCCTCCTCAAGACTAATTTGTTTTTCTCAGTGTTTTCAAAGCCATTGGGAATAATTATGTTTGCTTTGAAACTATTAGATAAATACTAGAGGCCTGGTGCATGGATTCGTGCATCTGTGGGGTCCCTTAGCCTCACCTGCACCCTCTCGCAATCTGGGACCCCTTAGGCTTAGGGGATGTAGTAGTGTGTGAAGCAGCAGATAGCCAGGGAGGAGCCTGAGCCCAGGCCCGGCGCTGCATCACTCCCTCTCATTCCGCTGCTCAGTAGCACTCTGTGGAGGTGGGAGAGACTCATGCTGCCACAGGCGCTAGCTGGCAGGTGCCCCTTGATCAGCTGAGTGGCGCTCCCGCTGTGGACTGTGGGGTGGGAGCACACTGACCACCAGGGGGCATCTCCTGTGTTGACCCTGGTGGTCAGTGCATGTCATAGTGACTGGTGAAACACTCAACTGGTCAAGTGGTAGACTGGTCACTTAGGGTTATGTATGTATAGATTGTTAAGAAGGTACATAGTTTTTATTTTCCCTGTATTGCATTATTTTTATTCTTGGACTTAATGTTCAAGAAATTAAAATCTAACAAGTTATTAACACGGCAAAAATATGTGGAGAACTTTGAGCTTGATCAGAAGTATTTCATTTCCAAAATCACATTTCAACCACTAAAACATTTCAGTGACAGTTTGTGTTATATTCGCTTCTGCATTTTCCAAAAAGTATGTTAAGACCAAATGTCAGGCATTAATACATTTTTCTACATAAGTTTTATCTTTGGTGAAACTTAACTTTTAAAAAGTAAAGTAATGTGTGTTTGCAGGGGAAAGAGTATTAAGAAAGCTTTAGTGTTCAAAAACTAAAACATATCGTAAGACAATAGAAGAGCAAAAATTTATCTGTGGATATTCAGACAATTTGTGACTTGTTCTGCTTGGTTACAAAGCATAAGAAGCAAAAATAAACGTTTATTTATGTTTCATGTTCTTAATTTGAGCACTAAGTACTGCTCTGGCCTCCTTTGTGCTGACTTTTATATGCTGGGTAAAGACTGTGAGGTGGTTTGAATAGACATTTATAAGACTGTCATAATTTTTCCATAAAACTATAGCAAAACTAAAAGGTATCTCACATAAAGCAGAGAGAAAAGTAACTCAAAACTAAACGTGAGTGTTAATGTTTGTTAGAATTCCCAAAGCTTTAGTTGACCTTTGATTGAAGGCTTGTAGGAGTTACTCTGCTCTAGAGGGTTTTACATATACAGGCACCTGTAAATCCCAGAGTCATCATTGGATTTATAAGTGTGGGATGGATTTAAAAATATAATCCTTGCATATAAGACATAAATGTGATCTTTATTAGAATCTCATAGGCTCTTTATGACATCGGTTGGTCTTAAGTGTTTATACTCCAGCTTAATTTCTGGGCACCAATTACAGTTATATTTATTCAGCTGATTTCTATGTAGTTCCTACTGGACCAGCTACTTCCTCAGCACGAGGGTTTGTTGGTGAACAACACAAACATTCGTGTCCTTGTGGTGTTTACATTCTAGTGGGAGGAGATACACCAAAAAATTCATAATAAATTAGTAATAAATAATAAAGTCAGTTGTATAGTTGTTCAAGTGTGATATATGCTGTAGAAGCTGAATAATAAGTGTTACCCCAATAAATTTAATACAATTTAAATTAAAAAATAAATTAAAAAGAAGATAGTTAAAGCCAAGAGGATTTGGAGGAATCAGTAATTTGTGATTTTGAATCAGAAGATCCTGGTACCTCATTGGAAAGGTCAAAATTTTTAACAGATTCTTGAAGTAAAGAAGTTGTCCATGCTTTCTTCTGCTTGGCTAAGGAAGATGGGTGGTTTTATCTTTACCTTTTAATTTTGCACTTTTGTCATAGCCCTGAGGTAGAAGAAGTGAGCTAGGCCTTGGTTTATGTAAGTCTAGAACAAATAGCTGCTTTGGAAAAGTGATGCTCTTTCAACAAGCTCCCTCTCCCTTTTTCTTCTTTTTTTTTTTTGACAGTAGCATTCAGGTGATACTTCATTGATAGCACTCCCCCCGGCCATCCCCGCCACCTTCACCCCGACAGAGGAAAGAAAATCTGAGCCTCTATCAGGCTAAGTTGCTACATTTTCTATACAAATTGATTCCCAGGGAACTTTAAATTTCATGTTGTAAACGGTTTTGTCCCTCTCCAGTCCAAAAATACAGCCACCTATTACCATGATTATTATAAGACTGCAAGTCAGATATA